GTTTACGGTGAAGATGGTGTGGACGGTACTTCTGTGGAGAAACAGACTATTGACACTATTCCTGGTTCCGACGCTTCGTTCGAAAAACGTTACAGAATCGACCTCTTGGATCCAAGCACGTCAATCTCCGAGTCATTGTTGGAGTCTGGTAAGGACATCAAGGGTGACGTCAAGTTGCAAAAGGTGTTGGATCAGGAATACGATCAGTTGCTCAAGGACCGTAAGTACTTGAGAGAGATCTGTTTCACCAACGGTGACTACAACTGGCCTTTGCCCGTCAATTTGCGTCGTATCATCCAGAACGCTCAGCAAATCTTCCACAGTGGCCGCCAGAAGGCGTCTGACTTGAAGTTGAGTGAGATTGTTGAAGGCGTCCGTGATCTTTGTACTAAGGTCCACGTTGTTCGTGGTAAGGGTAAATTGGCTGAAGAGGCTCAAGAAAACGCCACCTTGCTTTTCCAGTGCTTGTTGCGTTCCAGATTAGCCGCTCGTCGTGTAATTGAAGAGTTCAAGTTGAGCAGAATTTCATTTGAATGGGTTATGGGTGAAATTGAAACCCAGTTCCAGAAGTCCATCGTCCATCCTGGTGAGATGGTTGGTGTTATTGCTGCACAGTCCATTGGTGAACCCGCTACTCAGATGACCTTGAACACTTTCCATTATGCTGGTGTGTCGTCTAAGAACGTTACATTGGGTGTTCCTCGTCTTAAGGAAATTCTTAATGTTGCTAAGAACATCAAGACCCCAGCCTTGACAGTTTACTTGGACCCAGATGTGGCAGCTGATATCGAGAAGGCCAAGGTCGTTCAATCTGCTATTGAACATACCACCTTGAAGAATGTTACCTCGGCAACTGAGATTTTCTACGACCCAGACCCTAGAAGTACTGTGATCGAGGAGGATTACGACACTGTCGAGGCCTACTTCGCCATTCCTGATGAGAAGGTTGAGGAAACCATCGATAACCAATCTCCATGGTTGCTTCGTCTTGAGCTTGACAGAGCTAAGATGTTGGACAAGCAATTGACAATGGCACAGGTTGCTGAAAAGATCTCTCAGAACTTTGGTGAAGATTTGTTCGTTATCTGGTCCGACGATACTGCTGAAAAGTTGATCATCCGTTGTCGTGTCATCCGCGATCCTAAGTTAGAGGAAGAAGGTGAACACGAAGAGGACCAAATCTTGAAGCGTGTCGAGGCTCACATGTTGGAGACCATTTCTTTGCGTGGTATCCCAGGTATCACAAGAGTGTTTATGATGCAGCACAAGATGAGTGTTCCAGATGAGAGTGGTGAATTCGTCCAAAAGCAAGAATGGGTTTTGGAAACCGATGGTGTCAATTTAGCAGAGGTGATGGCCGTTCCTGGTGTTGATTCTCACCGTACCTACTCGAACAATTTCATTGAAATTCTTTCTGTGTTGGGTATTGAGGCCACTCGTTCCGCATTGTACAAGGAAATTCTTAACGTTATTGCATTCGATGGTTCTTATGTCAACTACCGTCATATGGCTTTGTTGGTTGATGTTATGACATCTCGTGGTCATTTGATGGCAATTACTCGTCATGGTATTAACAGAGCTGAGACTGGTGCGTTGATGCGTTGTTCTTTCGAAGAGACAGTTGAAATTTTGTTGGAGGCTGGTGCCGCTGCAGAACTTGATGATTGCCGTGGTATTTCTGAGAACGTCATTTTGGGCCAGATGCCTCCATTGGGTACTGGTGCATTTGACTGTATGGTGGATGACAAATTGTTGCAACAGGCTGGTCCAAACGGTGGTGTTCCCGTCGCTGCTCTGACCGGAGCATACGCTGATGACGGTGGTGCTACTCCTTACAGAGAATATGATATGGAGGATGACAAGATCCAGTTTGAAGAAGGCGCAGGTTTCTCGCCAATTCATACTGCGAACACTTCTGAAGGTGTTGGTTCGCTCACCTCATACGGTGGACAGCCATCTGTGTCACCAACCTCACCATTCTCTTATGGTGCCTCTTCGCCAGGCTATGGTGCTTCGTCTCCTGGATACGGTGGTACGTCCCCAACTTACTCACCAACATCCCCAAGTTACTCGCCAACGTCACCAAGCTACTCGCCTACATCTCCATCCTACTCGCCAACTTCGCCATCATACTCACCAACATCTCCATCTTATTCACCAACTTCGCCAAGCTACTCGCCAACTTCGCCAAGTTACTCACCAACTTCGCCATCGTACTCACCAACGTCGCCTAGTTACTCGCCAACTTCGCCTAGTTACTCACCAACTTCGCCAAGTTACTCACCAACTTCACCAAGTTACTCACCAACTTCGCCTTCGTACTCACCTACGTCGCCAAGTTACTCACCAACATCTCCATCATACTCGCCAACTTCGCCAAGTTACTCGCCAACTTCGCCATCGTACTCGCCTACGTCGCCTAGTTACTCGCCAACTTCGCCAAGTTACTCACCCACATCACCTCAGTACTCGCCTACGTCGCCACAGTACTCACCTACATCACCGCAATACTCGCCTACGTCGCCACAGTATTCGCCAACTTCGCCACAGTATTCGCCAACTTCACCCCAATATTCGCCTACTTCACCTCAGTACTCCCCAGGTTCTCCATCATACTCACCTGGTTCCCCACTGTACGCTGAAAGCAAGAAGGAGGATAAAAAGAAGGACTGAATGGGTTGAAGTCCACTTGTATTTAACATGGCACTTGTATTATCAGATTAACCGTCATCATAGAATGTTTCGGGATTTAAGAATAGACAGGAAATTGAAAAACTTGTAGATAGTATTCAGTGCACAGTAGTAATGAGTGCAAATGCGAGTGCAGTACATGTCAATGATCATCACCTACTAATGTCCAAGCCAGAAGTAGGGAAAGGTTCACTCCTCGATATCAAAAGCCGGGAGGTTTATAAACCAATTCTTGACAATCCATATACTCAAGGTCCTGAGTTTCCAGCGATTTCCAAGGACACTGCAAAAGCTGTCTTGGACTACCTTCTTCAGCTTCTACCCAGTTATGGAAATTACCAAAGTGTCAAGGACAAAAAAAATATCGAGCCACATCCACTTCATGGGAAGATCACAATAGGTTTCAATTCCACAGTGCAAGCTTTAGAAGGCCAGGCGTCTTCAAACCGGCAAAAAGTCTTTAGAGCTAAGAAAGAGCCAAAGCCCAAGACTTCCATTGACGGCTACATGAAATACGTATTTGTGGCCAAAACCGATATTTCCACACCACTTCTTACCAGCATGTTTCCCCTTCTAGCATATTCAGCATCGAAGTCTCTTGAGGACAGAGTCAAGCTCATTGAGCTACCGAAGGGGTCCATGAAAAAGCTTCTGGTTGTACTTCACACACCAAATGTCAGCATATTGGGTATTTCAGAGCTGTGGAATGCCGGTAAGGAACTCTTTCTGTTGATCGACAGAGAGATTGTGGACATAGACGTTCCTTGGCTTCAGGGACTATTCGACGGAAAGTTGGAGGTGTTTAAGGAGCCAGCAATAAGGTTCCTCAAAACCAAAGCACCTGTGGGCAAGAGACCTGGGAAGAAGGAAAGGCAGCAAAAGAAGAAGGAGGATAGGGAGGCCAAAACAGAGCTGCAGAAGGTTGAGCCAGAACTGAGCAAGAAGAGAAAAGCCGAGGATAATGGCGTCGATTCCAAGAGGGTGAAGCAAGAATAGTCTGCTCTAAACTGACAAGCGAGAGTACCTTTGGGATGTCAGAAGGTGCCTGGTAATGATGTAAGCTGAAAGGCAGTAATTAGCTTCAAAGCATTGTGAAACTAACGGATCCACGTTCAATAGCAATTAATCGGTAATAATTGGAATGAATTTCAGCCTTAGCGACAAAAAATGGAGATGTATATGGCACCATCGCTGTAACTTTTCACTAACGGTGCATCTCTAGCGTTCGCGTACGCGTGCGAATTTACACTTCTACCATCTTCAACCTCAAGACATGTCTAAAAACTTTGCACTTTCCCTCGAACTTCCGTGGGTTGAAAAGTACAGACCAAAGAAACTAGATGATATCGTCGGAAACGAGGAGACAATTGAGCGTTTGAAGCTCATCGCCGAGGACGGCAACATGCCCCATATGATCATATCAGGTTTACCAGGTATTGGTAAAACCACCTCCGTGCACTGTCTTGCCTACGAGCTTTTGGGACCTGAATTGGTACTGCTGGCAACTTTGGAGCTTAACGCTTCGGACGATAGAGGTATCGATGTGGTGAGGAACAAAATCAAGCAGTTTGCTCAAACCAAGATCCTGTTACCGCCAGGAAGACACAAGATCATTATATTGGACGAGGCTGATTCGATGACGGCTGGTGCCCAGCAGGCCTTGCGTCGTACAATGGAGTTGTACTCGAACACCACCAGATTCGCCTTTGCATGTAACCAGTCGCTGAAGATCATCGAGCCATTACAGTCTAGATGTGCCATCTTGAGATATAATAAGCTTGCCGACGACCAGGTGTTGTCGCGTCTATTGGAGATTGCCAAGATGGAGGATGTGAAATATAATTCCGAGGGTTTGAAGGCGTTGATCTTCACAGCTGAGGGTGATATGCGTCAGGCTATCAACAACATGCAAAGTACCGTCGCCGGTTTCGGCTTCGTGGATGATGTTAATGTGTTCAAGATTGTGGACCAGCCACATCCTCTTGTCATCAAGAAAATCTTGAACGCGTGCGTTTCGAAATCAATCGACGAGGCGATCGACCTTCTCGATTCGCTCTGGAAGAAGGGGTATTCAGCCATTGACATTGTCACCCTGAGCTTCAAGGTGGCCAAAACATTACCAGGAATTGATGAGCTGAAACGTTTGGACATCATCAAGGAGATCGGGTTCACACACATGCGTGTCTTGGAGGGCGTGCTGTCTTATCTACAATTGTGCGGTATGTACGCCAAACTAGCTGCATTGCCATGATTATAATACAAATATTAACGTCTTTGCTTGTAGGCATCACAAAGCATCTCAAAATGCTTCACTTGATCCTTTATGAACTCGTTTTCCGAGTCGTCGAACTCATTTCGAAGGATAGTCATGATCAAAAAGTAATTATTGAAGAGGAACACCTCCTTCTGCGTGGCCTTGCTGCGACCAGATCCGAACATATGGTTACTGGTCTTGGTAAGGGCACCTTCGAAATCATTCCTAATTCTTGTTATCGACATTGCGATTGGCTCGCCTTGGAAGAAGCCCCGCTTCTCGTGGTCAGAGTCGTGAACGAATGTAAGCCTTAGAAGACCAGCTAAGAATTGTGAGAATTGCTGTGTGACATTGAGCGGCGCTTGTTGTTGGTGGGCATTTTTTGAGGAATAGGACCCAGTTCCTAGAACGTTCTTCTTGAGTGCATCACAATTTAAGTCAATAACTCTAGTGAACTGGGGCCAGAGCTGGAGAAGAAGGCGGTTGTGGTAATCATCCATCGATGGAACGTGGAATCGATTGTGAAGGTTGTATTGATGGTTCTGCACCAAACGAATCATTAGAAGAATGGCGTAAGCATCGCCGGTGGCACCATACGAGTAACCTGCAACAGAAGCTGCTGCTGCACCTGTACCAGACACTATTCTAGAGCTCAGTCTCTGTGGGGCTGTTGTCAAAAGCCAATGGGCGAAGTCTTGACCCATCTTGTAAACTTCGCCAAACACTACTTGAGACCATGTCTGATCAGAGCCGCTAGGAATATTCATGGATGGATCAAGCTGCTTTATAGGCACTGCCTTCTCGTCACCCTCATGGAAGAAATCAATGAAGAAAAGATATTCGACAATGACATTGTCAAGAACGGCATTTGCCCATTGGTTGTAAATGAATTCTAACCAGTATGCAAAAGGTGTGGTCTCGGCAATTTGTGATGGAATAGAGCGACGGCTCTCACCGCTGTCTTCAGAGAGAATTTCGAGACGCTTTCTGACTGAGGAAAAGTAGTCGTTGAGCGAAGGTCTGGAGCTACCCTGAGATGCATTAGGACCACCAGGATTAGGGGAGGCTGGTGAAGAAGCATAGGCGTATGTCGACTCCCAAAGACCACCAAGGAGACCACTTTTAGCCTCACCGTGTTCATTGGCACCTAAGACGTAAGTCGTGTCTATCTGTTTTATCTTGAGTTTTTGAATAGCGTAAAGGTACTTGGCGAAACGGGTTGTATAGTACCACTTCATGGTGAAGATATATGCAAGTTGAAGCTGGTTGGCAAGTGTGGGATGTCTTTCCTTCAAAAAGTAGAAAGCCTCTTTGATTTGCAAAAGACCTTCTTGAACGATCTGTGACGAGGTCTTGAGGGACTTCCTTAGAAGTCGAATTTGATTAATGACGTGGTCTCTAATACGCTCAATTGCCTTGGCCTCCAACATCTTGATACCCTTTTGAAGCTCCTCAAAGGCTTTGGAGTCCTTGTAAGGCGCCAAGAACAGCAGGTCCTTATCGGTCAGCTGGACACTTTTCACCTTCTTTATGAGTTGCTGCTTTTCCACAATGAAACGTATGTTTTCAATCCACAGCTCGTCGACAGGGTCGACGACTATGCTTTTGGAAACCAGTGGAGGGATCACCAAGTCAAGAATAACTGGATTGAGCTGGTCTACCAACTCTCTTTGCAGACCTAGGTTCGAAGTGAGCTGGGACGATTGCTGTTGAAGCGACAACAAGGAGTCAGAAAGCTTGCATACCTCAGTGTTGAAGTAATCGAGAAACTTCTCGATTGGTTGAAGCTTCTCTTTGTAAGGAGCCATGGAGTCTAGGAACTCCTCATACTTGGCCGATAAAAGGCCAATGTCGTGGCCCGAAAGATCCTCTAGTAAAGACTCATCTGCCTTACCATCCTGGTCAGATTCGTGGATCGGCAAGAGCGTTTCCAAGTATGCAATACTCATGGCTCAATGAGTAGTAGTAGATAAATGCTATGTGTTGATACTTAAGCGCGAACATACATGGTTGTTGCAGCAGTACAATAGATCACAGTATATGGCAACAACAAACAAAGAGCCGGGCCCTGATGAGGGGATTGCCGATATCATGAAGCAAACTAGCAGTTTGCATATCGATGACTTGGAGCTGGACCTCGAGCATCAGGAAGCAATACCCATGGAGCCTGAATGGGAAGACATTGAAGTGCATGTGTCTGATTCACAATATGAAGTCATTCAACGGCCATTCGAGATGAATGAGATCTTATCTGTTCGGGCTGGCCCTGGACTGGGAAAGACATTCACGCTCATGGCTAGAATTGCGAGATTGCTAGGTGGAGACTTGCAGCCTCACGAGATACTCGTGCTTTCTATGGCAAATCGTTCCGTCAGTGCATTACAGAAGCACTTGGAGAACCTCGTGGGACCAGAAATTGCAGGAAATGTGGAAATATCTACCTTCCACTCGTTCTGTGGATCCGTGGTTGATCAATATGCTCAGATTATAAACCCAGACACGCCCAGAAGGCGACTTTTGGACCTGACAGGATGGCGAAACATTGCCGAATTCTTCCTATCAAAGTACGTGCTGCTCAATGGACATACCATTGGGACTAACATATCAGTTGCAAAGTTTGATAAACTCCTTAATGACATTGCAGATGGCAACATGACAACCAAACAAGCTCAAGAGAAGTTCAAAGTGCTGTCTCACTACCTTGATGGTATTTTCGATTACATGAAAAAACATGGGATGATGAGATACAACGATCTTGTTGGTGTTGCACTTGATGTGATTGAGCAGTCGCTTAAGCATGCCACTCAGGAGGCACTTCTACCTCGTATTGCCTCCTATAAAATGGTGGTTGTTGACGAGTTTCAAGACATGTATCCACTTCTTCTTTCTGTTGTTAAAGCCGTGGCTGACTACCCAACCTACAACTTCGACAGGACCACGAACAAAAACTTGATAATCGCAGGCGATCAAAATCAAAGCATTTACGAATTCTTGGGCTCAAGTCCTAGATCAATGGATCTGTTATGTTCGCAACTCCCACAAATGAAGAAAGTGGAGATGTCATTGAATGATTCGTTCAGATGTACACAAGACATTTTAGATACCTCAGTGGGTGTCTGTTTCAATAGGGATAATGATGGAGATGATGGCCTCAAATCACAAAAAGATCTGACACTTTCGTCAAAACCAGTCTTGCTCTCCAGCAACATGAAGGGCGATCATAATGCTATAGCAGATGAAATTGTCCGCCTTATTTGCTGTCTGGGTGGCCTAATTCGTCCGCGAGATATAGCGATTTTGACCAAATCCAATGCTGAAGCTGTCAAAATTCAATTACTTCTACGAAAAGAATACGGTATCGAATGCACTAAGATCTCGCTGGGAAATACATGGATCCAATCCAGAGTCAGATTGTTTCGTGACATTCTTAGTGTGGTAACAGGTGAGTCTGATGCTAGTTTCTGTCTTTTAAACATCCTCAAGATCTTGGACACATCTCAAGGAGCGAAGCAAAGAGCGTCAAAGCTTTTTAGCCAGGCCATTGCATCAGAGAAATCATTTGAGCATACTTTTTTTGAAGATTTTATTTTTGAGAATCTTTCCAACGGCAAAAACTTCAACAATTTATTTGCCAAACTGTACAACTCCTTGAAAAACATAGCAGCATTCATGAACCAAGTCCAAGAAGAAAGACTGGTATTTCATGCGATTACCGAGGAGAACTTGATCCATTCGCCAAAGGCTGTTGTTCAATGCCTACATAGGTTTTCTTCCCTAAACGGAATAAAAGAATATGTTGGTGGCCCTGACAAACTACCTGCTCGTGAAGTACTCACTTCGTTCAACGACTCCTTGCATTACTGCTTCGAAACCTACATGTCTCACAAGGACTTCCAGGATCGTAGCTTTATCGAATACTTCCTTCAAAACTACGATCAAGAGATTCCCCCTCGCAACGAAGATCTGGTTCAAGTTCTGACAATCCATTCTGCAAAGGGTTTGGAGTTTCCGGTGGTATTCATTCTGGGAGGCTTCGGAAATACTTGGCAGTCGCTTCTCCGAGGCCATGGCGAGGAAGGAAACAGCCATGCAAGGTTACTTTACGTCGCGTGTACCAGAGCTAGAGATCTTCTTTACTTGAGCACACCCATTGGTGTGGAAGAGATTGGAGACACAGCTAGGAGGCTATTTACCACAAGTCTCCCAAAACTCGACGACTCTTCACCGACTTTAGCCACGGGTATACAGAATCTTCAAATCAAACCAGGACTATTGTTCAACCCCAGGGCTTCTATACTCTCTGGGTTACTGGTAGATTTGAAGCGCCCACCACCATCGTCAGACAAGTTAAACAGAGGAAGAGAGTACTATAAAATGTTTACACAGCAGCGTCTGTACCATTTTGTTAGTTATCAAAAGTTGCCATTGAAAATGTTCACAGAGTCCACTCGGAGTATCCTAAGAAAAATCAAACACTGAATTTGAGATGGCACGTTACATCTTGCAATCAGCAGCGAGGGCGCACAGTCGGTTCGCCCTTTTCGCAATTGACTCCGACGGGTTTTTTGACTCAATTTATCACATAACTGCGCGTGGAGGCGAATTTACGAGCCCGGTAATTAATCCGACTTTGCATCATTATGGCGTGCTGACATGTTGCATTTGTTTATGCTAGACCTTCTTTCTAGCAGACCTCTGCTACCAAGTGGTTTCCCCGATTTTTTTATAACTTATGACAGTCCAAAAGGACTTTGATTTACAGGTGGCTCTAGATGAGTATCCTGATATGGAGAAATTCCTAGGGACTTTTCAGATCAGGCTTCACACGCTAATCAGATCAAACGGCCCGCTACGACATCGCAACCTCAAAGACTATATTGTGGTCTTCAAAAAGAAAAAGCTTCATAGTATGAAGATAAAACTGACAAACAATTACTACTGGGACAATGTTGCAGCCACTGTGAATGATCCCAAACACCGGGGCAAGGCTTCTGGAAGCTGCTTACGGTGTCGAAAATTCAAAAAGAAATGTTCCCGTCAGCTTCCCGAATGCCTCAATTGCACTTCCTGTGACGAATTCTGTGTTTACCCGCCACAGAGCATGAAGCACCTTAGGCTGAGCCTCAACAAGATAGACAAACACAACACCAGCATGAATGGTACGTACACAGGGCAACGGAGATGCAGCGATGTCTATCGCCTTCTCAATTAGCTCCTAAGTACTTATCTATCACCGTTTATTTCTTCCGCATTACTGACGCTGAAAAGGTCGTTAGACATTAATATACAGATTTTGATCAGAAGTTCGTAGAAGCTCATGAGAGTTTGGAAAGCAAATTAAGTAAGCCAGCGTTTTGGTCGCCGTCGCCACCGTTACTTCCTCCGTCTGTCCCATTGCTGCCACCCTGCTGAGTTTTGTGGAGTTCCAAGTCGTCTTTGTGGTGTGCCTCGAATTCCTCGAGATTTTCCGGAAGACTGGGCTCGAAGTTTGTGTCATCATCAGACTCGTTATCGCTCTTTGCCACCTTTATGACGTCCGTCTGCTCTTCCCTGTCGTATTCGTTGATTTGTATGTCTTCAGAAAAGGCAACTGACTTCTTTCCTGAGGCATTGGAAGACACTGAAGAGTCCGAGGCTTTTCTTCTTTTAGCAGGGGGCTCCTCCCTATCATCGTCGTCGTCATCGCTATCGGAATTATCGTAGGTGGGCAAAGCATCGTCATCATTAGAGGGAGCAGGAGCTGCAACTGGGGGAGGCGAGTCTTTTTCAAAAGCAGGAGAAGCCTCCTCGTCCTCGGCATCTTCACCATCAAGCATCTCTTGCAATGAGGACCGCGTCGAGTTGAGCTTCTCTAATCTCTGTGCAATGATCTGCTCCTTGGATTCATCTGTGGACAAGCCGTCTTCAAGAAGACGCTGAAGATTCTGCAACAGCGACAAAACATCCTTTCTAGCGGCTTTTATATCGGTCAAGTTCTGTGAGGTGACGTTGCAGAGCTTCTCGAGGACATTAAGTTTAGAAATGTAGATTTTAGGCAGTGGGAGGGCATCCTGGGAGTCATGATCGTTGGGCAAGTACTGCTTGGATTGGAATCCGATTTGAGTCAAATTCAGATTGCACACGTCCAGAAGCTGCGTCATATGGTTATATAGGTTATTCAAATGGACCAATTCGCCGTTGAGCTTAGGACCAGCGGGCTGAACCTTTGCAACAGGAGCTTCAGCGTCGAATGATTTACCTGACTTCAGCGAGTCTATCGCCCTCCTCATATTACGGATATCTGAGCCGCCAAAAATTCCTCGTTGTTCCCAAACGCCCACCAATCTTTCTATCTTGGGCTTGATCGGGTCGTCCATGCTAGGGAACACTTTGTGGAGCACCTCGGGCAAGAACTTTGCAAACTCGGCCAGAAACTCTGGTTTCCTCTTGTGGCGAGCCTGTTGGACAACATCATTGCATAAGTAAAGCAACGAGAGCTTCTTTTTCGAGTTTAGTTTCGGGTCGTCCAGCAAGGTGTACTCGCTCCACAACTGGCACAACTCCTTCACCCTTCGGTGATGGAAAAGCACCCACTGAGAAATCAGGACAATCAGGTCCTGCGTTTCCTGAAGCAGGTCCAACTTCTTTTTGAAGACGTCTGGCGAGAAGGACATGAGTAGGTTTGAACTGATGGTGGAGATTCTGCGAAGAGCATACACGAGGTACAGTACAGACCCTGGGTAGGCGACCAAGTGAGGAGAATTGCTCGCCACAGTGGTGTGTATTTTTGAAATTGACGGAGGAAGGAGGTGCTTTTGAATATTTTGATAATTTTTTGAAAGTTTTTTTAATGATGATATCTTGTGTGTTTAGTTAATCTTCAAGCATACCTCAAACACTTTGGGTGCAAATGCGTCGCCACCGTGAGTGAGACAAGCATGTCTTTTCCAGATGGAAAAAAGTTATCATATTAAGAGTTCTACAGGAATGAAGAAAGGTCAATTCACTAAAAACCAGAATAATCAGCTCATTGACGCTCCCATTGTGGAGGGGGTTGATAGGGAGCTGTTCAACGATGATGGTCAATGTTTCAAGGCAGGATGTAAAATGGCTCCATGGCCGCTTATAAGTGACTCTTTCAAAAATGAAAGGAATAGGTTTAGATAATTGACACCAATTGGTAGTAGCGCAGGCCTCTTCTACTAAACCATACGGCTGATCATTTCCCGTCATTACTTAAACTTGTATGAATTTTAGCCTATTGCAAACGACTACAAGAATATGTAATCATTTACTTCATAATTGAAATATCATAATAGAAGTTTGAATGATCCACCTATAAGATATCCTCCCACTGCCATTTCTGTGGGTCATCCTCCACTCATCCTCCTACAGAGCCGTTTGTCGATCATCCTCACCAAAACGGCCTTCAAATCAGATAAGTACAGAAACAACAAAACAAATCAATCTCAAGCCCCCATTTCAAAATTTCCCATTCCCTCAACTTCAAGTACCCAAATTCCATCCCATCGAGCACGCTCTACATAGACCCCCGCGGTGCGCATTGGAGTAAACAAACAAGATCAACTCCAACACGTCCACCCATTGCTAAAAATGCCCAGAGCTAAAAGCCAGCCGGATCCGGACGACTCGCTAGAAGTTGTTTCTGAGGGAAGCTCTTTGCGTAAATCGCCTAGACGGAAGAATCCAACGGAGAAGGTCACCAAACCAGCGAAGAAAGAAACCAAGAAGGCGCCTCCAAAGAAGCGTGGACCAAAGAAGAAGAAGGACGAGTACGGCTTGCCACCAGTGCTGCCGGCAAAAACCGCTCCAGAGCCTGTGGAATTCCCAAAGCTGTTGTCTAGAGTTCCTTCCTTGAATCACCCATCCTCCGCCTCTGCTACTCCTGCTCCAAGAGGCAAAATCACAGAAAAAGACATTGTCCTGGCTACCAACAGCAATGACCTTCTAGGCTACATCAATACGCTCGTGGGCAGTGAAGCTGACGCTAACTTGAACGAGTACAAACGCACGGCTCAGCTACAGATGGAAAACGATGCTAGTCTTATACGGCAATTGAAGGCGGACCTCCAAAGAAAACAGGACCTGATAGATACGCTCACAAAGCAGGTTCTGCGACTACAGGATAACGGGGCTGTACCCCACGACGCTCATGCTACGCCGCAAAAGAGACTGGGAGGTGAAATGTACCAGCTGCCTATACGTACAAGCTCTGCGTCTACTCTGATGATCAGTCTGGAGGACCTAGCGCTGGAGATGAAAACTATCGGTGTCACGCTCGACATGCTCGAGCTCTTGACGGGTGTCAGAATCGTGAACTACGAGGAAGACAAGGAGAAATTTCACTTTGACGTCAAGCAGTCGAGCACAAATGGCGAAGACGACCCAAGCACCATAACTGTGGAGTACAAGCTTGTGATCAAAAAACAATTCGAACAATCTGCTGATGTTAACTATGTCCCTACATTCTTGAAACAAGTCCCCTCGTCCATGAAGAAGAGATTGAAACAGAATCTCCCAGACTATTTACAAGACAGTCTTGTTTTCCCCTATAATACCCTCAGCCAGTTTTATGCAAAGATGAATCGTGCCCTCAATAAAAGCGCCAAGAGCTAGCTGTCGCTGAGGACAAACTTTCCATCGACCACGCTTACTTGCAATCTTTTCATGACGTCCTTCTTGTCTTCCTTAGTGTCCTTGCTGAGGGCCTTGATAGCGTCGTACAAGGAGCCTTTGCTGTACTTGGTCAAATCAAGAGGTTTCTTCAGGCTCTTCTTGGGCTTCTTGACCTTCGACTTGGACTCCTTCGACTCCTTGGTAGGTTTTGGCTCGGGCTTGGCCTTTGCAGGCTTTGGCTCCTCCTTCTGAACCGGCTTGGGGTTGTTGTTCTTCTTGCCCTTGTACAAGCCCTTCTCGTACTTCTCTGCTTCGGAGATGCACTGAGTATGCGTACGGTACTCAGTACCGTTGAAGGTGGTGGAACAGTCTATGCAAGTGAAGTATGCATCAGGACATCTGGAGCGATGCTGGTCCAACTTCTTCTTAATGACAGTGTCGTTGCAGACTTCACAAGAGAACGAAACCATTTTGGTGTGTGAGATGAGATGCGATGCTCTGTGCTTTTTCGCGTTTACTTATAGAACTACCCAGATTGGGAAACAACACGGCTACGAGCCGTGATGATGTATAACTATAAACAATGAAATAAAAGTATAGCTCTTGACGGGATGCATGTGTGATTATGCCTGGCAGTGAAACTGCGTGTATGAGTGGTCTGGCTGTTGCAAGAACCCATCATGAGGCTAATGATGGTAC